GGGACAGAGGGGACTTAAGCCTCATATCCAAGCCATGACCTCCCAGGCTGTGCTGGCCTTACATGAGCTGAAGGAAGCAGGTGCCAACGTGGGGTGTTAGGTTCCACGCCAAAAACCACCTCCCCACCCACCACGGTGCTTGACGAGGTGCCTGAGAGTCACACTGTTGTTGGTCATTCCTTTGGCTTAAGGCATGGAAGGCGTCCGTTAAAATCACATCTATCAGCAGCAACAAGCTTATTCGTCAGCACCCCACCGTAATTCTGGTGATGGGCCCCCACCCTGCGCTCCGTCCACGATGGCACAGGGCCCCGCCCAGGAACCCGGTCCCAGGACGAAGCTCGGCTCTGCACATGTCAGACTCCTGCCTCTGAGTCTGGAGGTCCAGCTCCCAGTCCAGATCAGGGGCTATGGCCCTGTGTCCAGCTGAGAGATGTCTCCGACAGTGCCTGCCTAGTGTCTTGCAGAACTTGGTGGCCTGGCTTCCCTGCTCATGCGCTCCCCGTCCTTCCTCACTCCCAACCCCCCCATGCACTTGACCTCTGGCTGTTTTGACTTTACCGATGCCGGGCGCCTCTGGACCATGCCCTGTTGGCTCCTTCCCAGCCCCTTTGGACACAGGCCAGCCCGGACTCCAGGATCCAGGCCTAGTTTAGAAGTCCCCAGGCATGTCGCAAGAATCTATACTGGTGAAAATAATAGTTGCAACATCAGATAAGGCTTTTTAGAATCTTAACATATAAGATGGACTTGTTTTAATTAAGACCTTTTCTATGCTTCTTTCCTTCTCTGAGTGAAAAGATTTCTCTATCCCTCGTGGCTTTTGCCGAAGGAAGTTTGTGTGTGTTGTGACAGTTGGTGCCAGTGTTGTTTTGGGTGCTATCTAGGTGTTACTTGACTTCTGTGTCTCTCAGAAATGTTGGACCAGACTGCGGTCAGGGACAGCTGTGCCCTGGGGTTTGGGTTCCTCCACCTGGATTCTTCTCCTCCTGATCGGTGCCCAGTGTCTTCTCAGCTGTCAGATCTTGGCATCATGTTACCTCCTCAGAAAAGGCTTTCCACCCGCCTCGTCTGAAGAAGGTTCCTTGCCCACCTTTCCCAGCCCCCGATCTGTGTCCTTCTTGACACTTCACGCAATTTAGAATTATTGCGTTCGTTTACTCGGGTGAAGGTGTCTTCCCCACCACCCCGGAAGCTCCAGGAGGTAGGAACCATGTCCGTTTTATAAAACCGTATCCCTAAAGTCTAGCATGGTAACTAGCCCAGCATCAGTGCTCAGTAACTGTTCGTCGAAAGAACGTTTTTCTCTTTTCCAAATGAAACGATAATTGAAAAATCTATAGACCGTACCCATTTCTGTTGCCCATCAGGTGACCAACTGATCCTATTCTATTCACATACCTATCGTTTGGAAATCCTGCTTATTGTCAAGGTCAATACATGGACCTACTGGGGGCTTCCGGAGTCCGCTGAAGACTGGGGGGTGGGCAGCCTATCTTTGGCAGTCTCCTCCGGCCCCCGGTTTTATTCCCCTCTACATTCCGTGAAAGCGGTCCTTCGAGATGCTCCCGAGTGCCTTTGCCCCCTTGTTGATTTCTCTCTGCTATCAAGATTTGCTCTGAGGAAGAAATCCGAAGCTCACTCACGCTGTGACTCTTCATGGGAGTGTTATTCACATTTAACCACGTCCACATGTTAGCCATGGGGCTGAAACACCAGAGGTAGACATTCTAGTCTTATCTGGCACCGGAGGAAGGAAATTAAGGAAAGAGGCGGCAGGAGCCTACAGCTTAGAGTTTGTTCACTACGTGATTACCCAGCTTACCCTCTTTCATGGCGAGAGAGGAAGAGAAACCAAGAGCAGATGCCGGAGGTTGAAATCTTACCATAAAACAGGTCTCTTGGCTTTTGCAGTCTGGGTGGAATACAAACCGTTAAATGTTAATAGCTGTGTTTATAAAACCGTGAGCTGCACTTCTTTATTTCTAGGAGGAAAAAAAAAAAAAAAAGGATCCCAGATGCCTTTTGCAGTTGAACCGCACTCAGGCGCCCGTGAGCCGAGCACCCTGCCGTTGCACGGATGGGTATCGGGGTGCCGAGTCTGACGCTAGTGTCACCTCTCTCTGTGGGCACCCCTTAAAAAAGCTTTCCGGCCCTGATCAGCAAGACCGAGTGACCGTTCAGAGGACGCTCGCTCGTATTTGTTTCTTCCAGCCTTTGTTTCTTTCTCTAGGAAAGGGCACCCGTTGATTGGAGAAGGGAGAGGGCGGGGAGGGGTCCCTTGACCCTTTGTAGCGAGAATCACTTTTTCTCTTCCGACAAGACGCGATGCCAGTCAGAGAGGCCAGTGAAAAGGCGCCCCACTGTCAGGAAGCCGCCTCCAACCTCGGTTTCCACGTCTACGAAACGGGGGTGCCGGGGCCCACTTCAGAGGGTCGTCCTTGGGGTCTCTGCTTCTTACAGCCCGAGCCGCTCTTTAAGGCCCAGGTGAGGTCTTGCTCCTCCGCTACCTAGTTCTTTTCATAGGTATCATTTCTTGGAGCCTCATGGCTCTTAGAATCGATCATAAATGAATTCGCATTTAATTCTATTTTCATTGTTTCCTCTACGTCGGGTATTTGATTACCTTGGGTAGACTGTGCGCCCCACAAAGGGGAGTTGTGGAATCAGCCGTCAACCTACCAGGTTTTCAAATACTGTGTAGTCAACATCGTAACAAAAACAATAAAGATGATAATAGCAACGATAACAACAATTACCATTTAATGACAGACTGTTATTTCCCAGGCACTCTGCTGAGTTCTTTCTGGAAGGTCTGTCATGTAACAGCCCTACGAGGTAAAATATTACTAGATTCACCTTACAGGTGGGGAAACCAGGGCTCAGAGATTGAGTGGCTTGCTGGAGTCCGGCCGTAAACCACCAGCTGGGATTTTAACCCTCGCCTGCCTGACTCGGAAGCTTTGCTTTGCCGACTGACTGATGGGGCGGGGGAGGTTCAAGTGCATCCCTCCCCACCCAAATCCACCATCCTTCCCCGGTCGTCACAGCATGAAAGGGACACAAGGAGAGACAGAGGTAAGGCCAGCCTTTATTGAGACAAACTACACGTACTATTTCCTTTTTCCTTCCTGAGAGCCCTATCGTCGAACACCGATCTCGTGGACTCTCTCATTCTAGACCGCTCATTTCATAACACAAACACATTTCGGGGGCGGACAGTCTGTTTGGTTTTGTTCTGGAGTCTTCATGCCAGCGCCAGACAAGAGACGAAACGGCATCGCCTCCGGGGACCTGGGATCCGGTCGTTCTGCCCCGGACGGCATCCCGGGCGGTTCCCTCCACCTCTCTAGCCTCGTCCTTCTTCTCGCCCGTCAGCAACGTCCAAATATCAGCAGAGGGGCCAGGAGATGGGCAGGTGGGGCAGAGGCTCAGCCGCCTTCTGCACCTTCACCTTCCCCTGTCCCAGCCTCGTGCACCTGTCTGTTCAGACAGATGACACTGAAAACCGGGAGGCTTAGCTCCTTACAGTGCAGCTGCAGGGAAGGGCGGCAAGACACAATTTCTTTTTCTTATTTGAGGTCTCCCCTCCCCTTCACCCCCCGCCCCAAACAGCAGGTGCGTGTGCGCACAAGCGCGCGCGCACACACACGCACACACACAGGCATTTTAAAAAGTAACCATCTCCCTATATGTCTCAGTATCCAATTCTGAGCATCCTTTACCTTCATCCAATATGGCAGCCCCTTATGGATGGACTGGATGGAAAAACCAGGCCAGTCCCTGGGGAAGGCGGGGCTGTTCCGCCATCACCACCTGGCAGTCCCTTAGGAGCACCAGGGAGACGCAGGAATCTCTGTGCTCTTACACGGGAACCCTGCCGGGAGAGCTGGAGATCCCCCTATGCTTCATGGCGGCCGTCCTCCTGGGAGAGGGAGATCGGGGGGCCTCCTGGCTGTCCCCACACCTCCTCTTGGCGCTCTCGGTTGGCCGTCAGCAAGGGAAATAAATAGGAGGGAAAAGTCCATTTCCAGTATTTTCTCTCCTCTTTAATTTTCATCTTCACAGCAAAATTATTCTTTTCCCAAGGGGAATCTGAGAAGCACAATGTCCTCTTTGTTTTAATAAGACCTGGGGAAATTCCACTGGCCTCTGTAGCTGGTGATCTGGTCAGGATCTGAGCGAGGACGACGGCTTCTTGTCGATAAGGTCTTTAGGGGAGCACTGGGTGAACAGCCAAGGGAGGAAGGGAAAGGATGGTTTCTGTCACCGGGATGAACTGTAAAAGAGCTTCAGGATGACGGGTGGTGGCAGGGATTCCCGTGGAGTCTGTGCACAGTGACTAAGGGAGCTCGTAACCCCCTGGGGCGGTCGTATAACCTGGCAGAAGGAAAGGCCACGACATCACCAAGGTGGGACTTTTGCCAGACGTACATGCCAAGGCACTTGTAAAGTTGAGGCTGCCGGTCGAGTTCCAAGGAAGGCTGGGGGGAGGGGCGCAGGCAAGGGCAGCCCAAGGAGACCTCGCCACCACGTCATGGTTTGGCTCAAGAGTGCATCTAATGCGAGTTTCTTGATTCCTGGTCTTTGTTGGTTGGGCACTTTGGGCTCTTCCTGGCTGGAGGAAGGGCGGTCAGGTCAAGTAAGCCACAGGGACCTGGCGAGCCCATCTGCTGCGTGGCTGGTACACAGAGAGTGAGCCCAGCCCGCCGGCTCTCCCCGCCCGGTCCATTCCCCTACCCCGCTTGATGAGGCTTCGCTGAGTACGCCAGGCAGAGGACGGGGAAGGGACAGACGCCGGGGTGGGTGGCCATGTCTCCTGACTGTGCTCCCAGAGCCCTCGGCACACCTTCCGGAATACACGAGTAATGCCATTGAGACCTGGGGCCGAAAGGACCAGAGCAGTGACGGGAACGAGAGAGAGCGGGTGAGGAGGGCCAGTCCGCCCTCTCTGAGCCTCCTCTGTTCCCACCTGGTCCTGGTGCCCCCACGCTGGACGGTCACACTGAGAGGTCATCCGACCTGGCCTTGCTGCTGGCCTTGCTGAGACGGCGCTTGTCACTCTGGTAGCTGTGGGGGAGGCGGTGACCGGAGGAGACCTCGCTGGGCACCTCAGGCTTCTGGGAGTAGTGGACGTGAATAAAACCCTCCCCGGGAACCTGCTCCTGGCCTCGCACCTGCTCGGTGGCCAGGTTGTCCGTGTTCTGCTGCGAGGCCACCTGGTTGCTGAAGGGATTGAAGAACTTGCCCCCCGGGCCGTTTTCCAGGCACTGGCTGAAGGCGGGGGGCGGCGTGCAGCTCTGGGCCAGGCCGGCCGCGGGGCCGGGCAGCTGGCACTCGGCCACGCCTGGCCGCGACTTGGCGAATCGCTGTCTGAACTTCTTCCAGCCCAGGTGGTAGAGTTCAGCCAGACTGAGGACGAGGGACAGTCCGGCCACGGCCAGCATGAAGACGATGAAGACGTTCTTCTCCGTGGGCCGGGACACGTAGCAGTTGACGGGGTGGGGGCAGGGACTCCGGCGGCAGACGTGCAGGGTGTCCAAGAAGACCCCGTAGAGGAGGTACTGGCCCACGATGAAGGCCACCTCCATGGTGGTGCGGATGAGGATGCTGCAGACGTAGGTGTTGAGCAGAGTGCCCCGCAGGACGATCCTGCCGTTGGCCTCCTCCCAGCAGGACAGCTCCGCCTTCTCGCCCACGGGGTACTCGCAGGGCCCGGCGCCCCGGGCCTCTCGGGCCCGCTCGGCCTCGCGCAGCTTCCGCTTCTCCTCCATGCGCACGTGGTGCACGGCGTGGCCCATGTACACGAGCGACGGCGTGGACACGAAGATGATCTGCAGCACCCAGTAGCGGATGTGGGAGATGGGGAAGGCCTGGTCGTAGCACACGTTCTCGCAGCCCGGCTGAATCGTGTCGCACTGGAAATCCGCCTGCTCGTCCCCCCAGGACGACTCGGCCGCCGTGCCCAGCACCAGCATGCGGAAGATGAAGAGCACGGTGAGCCAGACCTTGCCGATGACCGTGGAGTGCTTGTGCACTTCCTCCAGGAACTCCCCCAGGAAGCTCCAGTCGCCCATCTCGGCTCAGCGGGGCGCGGACGCCAAGGCTCCTGCAGACGGGGGAGAGGAGAGGAGAGAGATGCTCTTGTGAGTGTTAGGAGGACCCAGGCCAGCGCTGGGCCGCCAGGGATTCATGCCAGCGTGCAGGCGAGCAGTCAGATTCACCCACGAAGCTCACTTATTTCTCCCCCAGAAAAAATAGATTCAAAGTGCTCGAGCTCGCGGGATTGGAGCATGCTTCCCACACTAACGGATCTAGGAATGAACTGAGATGTGTGTTACAATGTGGATTCTGTGCTCTCGCCCCCAGACAGTCTCCTTGGGGAGATCTGGGGTGCCAACCCTCACCCCTGGGAATCTAGATCTGTGACACGCAGCCCAGGTGACTCTGATGCAGGCGGACCGAGACGCACACCTGGCGAAACACCGGAGCGGTGGGCAGAACACGGGGCTGGAGTCTGCAAATGCGACTCTGGGCATTTACCTTGCTGAGTCTGTTTCCTTGTCGTTAAAAGGAGGATGGGGTCGCTACACCAGAGGATTTTGAGAATTAAATGAGGGAAGCATGTGACATGCAGAAAATCATCCTGCAGATGTTCCGTGTGCCTGAATGGCTGTTAGGTAGAAAAAGGATTTTTTTTTATGGCTAGATGGAGGAGGAGGGGAGAGTGGCGGATTTGGCCCCTCGGGAAGCACCCTCAAACCGTCGGGGCCATCCAGCGAGGACCAGCTGGACTGGGAGGGGGCGAATGAAAAGTCTCGGGTCACACCCACTAAAGGTGTCAGAGGCGAGTGCTTCGTGCCGGCAAGCGGCTGGCAGTGCCATGTCTGACAGCTCAGTGCAATGCAGCCGTCAGCCGCACAGCCCAGCCTGTCCTGCACACACACAGAGGTGCCCGCACAGGCCTGCTCACCTGCGCATCCACGACAAATGCTCCAAACCTGTGGGTCCTGTACCGAACCCACCCTCATCAGGCCCTCGCCTGCCCCTTCGGCCTCATTTCCTGTCTGTCTGCAATGGCTTCCTTTATCCAGCCATGCCGGATCCTGGGCCCTGTTAGCAGAGCTCTCTCCATCTCCACTGCAGTCAGTTCTGGTCCGTGAGGTATGGGGCGTCTCAGGTGGAGGGGGTGCTCTAGGAAAGGCTCCCCATCCCTCAGTTAACAGGGGGAGCCTCACCTGAACCCTCCCCACCCCCACCGCTTCCTGCCTATGGACAGGGCGTGTGAGCCAAGATGTGCCAAGCTGCCCCGAGAATCTCAGAAATGCCGGCCAGTGCCCTGAGGCCTCTGAAACTCTCCAGTCGCGTACCTCCAGGATTCTCGATGAGCAATACATGTCCTTATGGCTTAACCAGTCCTAACCAACAGAATTAAAAAAACAAAAAAAATAGGCGAAAGCTGAATATAATATTCCTTTCTTAGAATCACAAAACCTCAGATTCCTATGGGACCTCAGAGACTGTCAAGTTCAAACCTTGACCTTTGCATCTTTGTTGCCAGCGGGCCCCAGGTTTCTATCCGAACACTCTTTATGCGTATGAGGAGGGACTGGGTGGGGGTGCCATAGGTCATGGTCCAGGCTTCTTTAGCTCCTGAGTCCATACCCTGACAGAGGCCAGCCTCCTGCCCTGTATCGACCCGTCTCCCACTCCTCCCCCAGAGTACGCAGAGTCAGCGGAAGGGGCCTTATCTCTGTTCCCCTCCATATCAAAGACCCAGCTAGGTCTCGAGGCCTTTCCTCTGGTGTACGATCAGACATCTGCCCTTTTCCAAAAGTGGTGAAGCGGCCCCCTCCCTTTATCCTGCAAATGTGGAAAAATGTGGAGCCGTTTGCTCCAAAGGAAAATGGTTGATTAGATAAGAGTTCCAACGGGCTGTCATCTCTTCTGGGCACGTGCACAGTGTTCAGCGCCCCGAGGGACAGCCACGTGCCTGCGGGGACCTGGATGTGGTGAGCTCTGGGAGACGGGGAGGGAGGGGAGGAGCGGAGAGGAGCAGAAAGAGGGAAGAGACCAGGGGGAGTTGGAAATGGAGAAAAAGGGACCATGTGCCGGTTAAGAGAAGACGGCCTGGGGCTTAGCTGAACGGAGTTCGAACCCTGGTAATATGCGCTGAGCCTGGAGGGGGTTCCTGGATCTGGGTCGCAATTTCCTCATCTGCGAAATGGGGATGGTATGACTTAGCTCGCAGAGTGTGGCGAGGTGGTCGATATATGAAACGCGCTTAGCACAGGGCTCGGCATGTAAGAACTGAAGACGAGGCGGCCCTTCCTAGCGAGGGGACTGGAGGGGAAGGACGAGACCTGGAGAAGGAACGAGAAAGGAGAGAGAGATGCCTCACAACGGCGAAGCAGACACGGGACAAGCAGCGGAGGAGGGATGGAAATAGAAAAGAGACGGACAGAGAAACAAATGTCACGTTTCTGCCGGGACTGGGAGGGAGCTTTCCAAACTCTCCTCCATCCCTGAAGGCTCTGCCCTTGATCTTCTGACCCTGTCACTTATTCCTTGCAAGTCCCCAAGGAAGTGTAAAAATAGTTCCGGGCAAAGAATGTGGCGCTTTGGCGTGGGCCGCCAAGAGGCTTCGCTGCTGACTCCCTCGTGTGTGTCCAGCGAGACCCACCTGGAAGGGCACAGAGGGGCACGACATGGGACATCGGACAGGGCTGGAAAGGGTGCCTGGGGGTGGGGCAGACCCCCTGGGCGTCAAGGGCAAGGAGGAGAAAGGACATCTCATTTGTCACTTTCCGGACGACTCAGGCAAGGTCAGAGAAACTTAAACTTGCTACCACATTCGAGCTGCTCGGTTTATAATAGGAAAAGTCCCCGGCTGAAGTCAGTCTCCCCGCTACACTGGGTCCCTGTGGGTCCCCCACAACCTAAGCCAAAGAGACGTGTAGATTAGATAGTCATTGAGTTTCCCGGCTGTGTGGAATTTAAATGCTTGGTAGGTTATTATTCCTTTCTTGGCAGGAAGTGCGTTAGGAGGGGCAAAGGAAGCTGTCATTGCCACGAATAGAGTATCCAATACAATGGTAATATCTCCCACCGCCTTAGCTTTGAGCTTCGCGGGTTTCCTGCACCTTATAAAGTCCAGACTCTTAAACTTGCACTCGAGACCGTCCACAGCGCAGCCTCACTCTACCTCCTCCCCCTGTTCCCCGCACGGAGCCACTACCGAAAGCTCCGCAGTTCCCTGGACACGCGTGTCGTCCACGGCCCACGAGTTCTCAGCCTGCTCTCTCGGCGCCTCGTGCTCCCTCCGTTTGATAAAGTTTGTTGAGTGGGTCCCAGGTGCCAGGCCTCAGGCGGGCACTGAGGAATCAGCAGTTAGAAAGCCAAACGCGGGGTCCCCGCCTTTACCCAGCTTAGCCGCCTCTATTTCCTTTCACGAAGGGGAGAAATGAAACACATAACTGCAGTAAAGCACGATATGACAACTGAAGGAAGGACTAAGGCACGTGTGGTCCCGCCGGCTCCGGCGTAGGGGGCCGGGGAGGGCCTCGCTCAGTCGGGACCCTCCAGAGATCCCCGGAGAACGGAACTCTACAGCCCTTTGCAACCGACACAAGTTCTGAATCATCCACAGCGAAAGCAGACAGTCCCTAGAACCTGGACAAGAGCATCGCAGCCGCGAGGCGTCTTCACCCCAGAACCTTCAGCATCCTCTTCCAGGGCGTCGTATCCCAAGACAAAGCAACACTTCCGGAGCAGTTGCCAGAGAGCTCGCGGCAGGACATGGAGCTTGGATGAGAGAAAGGGCCGAAGGAAGGCACTTGTGTGCAGTGAGCATGACTCACGTCGTAACCTTACTTCACGTGTTATAGGGCTAGGAATAAAATGCCAGCATCCGCATTCCCGGCCCAGCGTCCCCCTTCGCGCTGGTTGCGTCGCCTCCCTCCGCAGCCAGTGTTTCCACAGCAACCCAACTTAGGCAACACAGATGAACATAAACTCAGCCGGGACCTTTCTTCTGACCCCGCAGATCTGAGTTAGACAGCGGAGAAGTCTTCTCGAATCTCCCTCGGCCCCTTCGATGTCTCTCGAAGACCAAGTCGCCTTGCAGCAGGTGGGCACCTTCTCCCACTCGGTTGCATGCTGCTTTAAATTTGTCCTCCAAAAAGTTCTTGTCCATCGGCCAACGCACAAGTACTTTTCTGAGTCCCTACTGTGTGCCTACCACTGTTCTGGGGACTGAAAATGAGAGGTACCGAGCCTGGCACATATTAGGCGCTCGGCGAGAGATAGATGTCAAGTTCACGGATTCAGGCATAATTCGTGCCCTTTATTTAACAGCTTTTGCCCTCAGATGGGTACTAGACGTCTCAAAGGCCAAAGCCCTGTCTCCTGCTTTGTATTCTTATTCCATTAGGGTTCTTTCATTAGGTACATAATAAATGCTTTCTTAATGGCTGAAAAAAAGTGTTTGGTGTAGTGGTAAGTTTGCAAAGTGACCCCAGGGAGACTCAGCTCTTCCCTCTAAAGTCCAGTGATAAAAAATAAACCCTTACACGATTCAAAATATGCTTCTCCTACATTCTCTTGTTGACTCCGAGAGGGCAGGACCAGAGCTGTTTGTTCAAGTCTGAATACATTCAAGACGTAGAGACACTCAATTTTTATGGTTGAAAGGGTGAATCCTGAAAACTGCTTGGTGGGGTGATGGGTGCTGCCTCTGATTTGCAGAGGAAGAGACAGGGAAGAGAAGAGGCTCGTTCGAAGAAGCAAAGTCTAGTGCGGACATCCAGGGCTTCACTCCAGAGCGTGTGATAGGGTCCGGTGCTCACCAGAGCGC